AGCAGAAAATAAAACCTTTGAGGTCTTGTAGCCATGATGGTACACACCTGTAATCCCATCTACATGGGGAGAAAGAGGTAAAAGGCTAATAATTTGAGGCCAGCTCAGGTAAGCAGTACTATTAAAACATTATCTTGGAAAACAAGCTATACAAGGTGTGAATGTCTTTGGTCATAGCTATGAAGGAAGCAAATGTAGAGCTGGCCCAAGCAAAAGCAAATAGACCCTATCTGAAATAATGAACTATAACAAAGAACTGGAGGTATGGCTCAAGTAGTAAAATACCAGCAATGAGCAAAAATGAAACTGAGAAAAAACAGGAAATCCTAGTCAAGCCCCAGTACTGTTGTACACATAAATCATAAGTATTGCTTTAGGGATATTACATAATGTAAGTGCTCAGGAAAGAAAGAAAACAGGGAAGGTAGGAAGGTATTGAGAGGAATAGCTGTAGTAGCCAGTGGGTTGTGGTCGAAGTGGCAACTAGGACAAAGAATAGGAGACAAATTTGAGGAGGGGCATTATTGTCAGCAGAAAACTGTGTTTGAATCTGCGTGATATGGAAGGACAAGAATTTGAGCATCAATGACTGTCATTTTGGCAGGATCATTCTGGGATGTAAAACTGATACATCAATTAGAATGTCATTGCAATCATCCCCTTGAGCGGTGGTAATGGTTGGAGTGGGGTAGTGCAGGACGTAGGGAGGATTTTGAGCATCATCAGTTGCTAGTACATTTTGAAAATGGAGCCTAGACATTCTGGCAGAGTAAATGTGGGTTTATGAGGATGAGAAGAATATCAATTGCGACTCTAACATATTTAGTATAGATGATTATTTGGTGTACAATATAAAAAAGACACCTTATTAGAGAGGGCTGATTTCACAGCAAAACCAATCAAGAATTTCATTTTAATAACAAACTGATTAATTCGGAAGTCTGAATGTGGGGGGCAGGAGGCAAGGTCCAGGAGTGTTAGGTGGCCAGATCTTCCCACAAATCTCCTGAGAGTGCAGATAGAAAACACTCCTCAACTACCTTCCAGAGAATGGTGGTCATGGAAACAATTTATCTCAAAGCAGATAGGACACTTAGATGCTTCATTAAGTTGGCACTTTGAATTGTAGTTGGTATACAAATAAGACAAAAACCACAAGAGAAAGCCCACAGTGCTGTTTTGATGAAACCTACCATTTAAAAATCATTGCTGATACTGCAAAACTGCCACAACTGGGTCAAATCCTTTGGCTCTATAAAGTCAGAGAATGAGTCCACAGACACAGAAGGAGTTAAAGCAAGAAAGTGTTATTGAAGAAAAAATGAGCAGAGCTCCTACTAGACAGGAGGGGTCCAGGGAAAAGCACTACCCGGGACGCATTGTGCTGGGCTTAGTAATGTGTCTCTAGGAAAGAGCTATATAACTGTCAAGCTAATTGGACAGTCCCTCCCCCCAGAACCAATCAGGTATTCTCCATGTACCCTTTATGCCCTGCAACTGGATGCCTGCTCTGGAGTACCTCTCTGGGTTCCAATCAGATTGTTGTTCAATTGAATGTCTTCCTGGGGCAATAGGCCATGACATGATGTCCATAAGACTATATATGAGACTGTTCAAGGCTACAGTGATATCATATTTAGGGGCCAGTATATGGGACTGCTCTAGGCTATGGTTGAAGAATGCAGAATAACTATGGAAAGGGGGCCTGTGCCCTGATTGTCTAATCAGGGTCTTCTTTGGCTCTCAGTGCTATTAATTTGGGCAAAAAAAATACATGTAAATGAAAACAGGTCAGTATTGGTGAGAACAATACATTGAGAAGTCCCACGAAATGAACAATCACAAAAAGTATATTGAGATCTTAGTGCCAACAGGCAGCAGTCAATTCACTGTGGGTGTCCTCTGGCTCCTCTCATTCATGAGACCATTGGGTGAAATCTTGACCCTATTTTGGGTCTCATATGACTCACCCGTAAGGAAGACCACAGATTATTAGATGACTTTTATATGACACAGTTTAATGTGTTCCACAGACATATTTAAACAGTTGGCTGAGAGGCTGGGTTAATTTGGTTCTTTCTAGTACAGATGGTCAAAGACATGGGTGTGAATAATTTACTTATTTTATTGTTGTTAGGTTACCATATTTTTATAATCATGTTGTCTGTGAAAATGCAAACTTCAGAAGATCTTTTGGCAAAAGCACTGATGACAACACTGTCAAAAGTTTCAAGAGGTGATTTGCATTCACTGTATCAATTTCAAAAACTCATACACCTGTAGAGACAAGTATGGAGAGGTAGAGAGGAGAATAGTTATACCTTACTCGCTAACTGGCAGTACACTGATGGAAGACTTGTCTCACAAGACATCTTCCCAATACATCTCACCCAAGAAAGCTCATTAATTTCTTGGTTAATTCATTTGGGGTGAAAGGACCTGAAACACACTCACCTTTAAAAATGTCAAAAAAAAAACCTGAAATGTCTTTCCAAGCTTGCTAGAATGTACAGATGTAAGCTGGCTTAGCCAGAAGAAAGCACTTATCGAATTTGTTTCTCTTAAATGGATCTTGAGAAGACAATATTCGTGAGTCACCACCCTGCTTCATGTCACAGTGTCATCTGTAATATACCAATAAACCAATTTTGTGTTGTTTTGCCAAGAATATATCTTCATAATACAAAGAACAACTGTGAATTTGCTGCCTAATCTAAGAAACGTGTCATTAACCATGACCTCATTTACCAAAGAGCTTTTCTTTAGCCAATCTCTCAGTTTCCTAAAGTTCCTTCATGGTGTACTTATAAATAGATAAATAAATAAACAAAAATATATACAAATTGAAAGCTTGATCATTGGTTTTAATTGTTTTAACAAAAAAAACCTGGGTATTTGGTTTGGTCGAATGATATTTTCACTAAAATCCTTCCATTGCTAGAAGGATGTTAGTGTAATTCTAGTTTCCTTTTAATATGAAACAATTCAGTGCATGAACGCAGAATGCTTTGTTATCATCCTTCCTCCCTCCACCCTCGAACCTGTTTCCCTCCAGAACATGAACTCAGGGCTTGAGCATTGTCCCTGAGCTTCTTTTGCTCAAGGCTCGCACGGTACCATTTGAGCCCCATCTCTACTTCAGAATCTGATGGCCTTTCCTGCCAGGCTGGCTTCAAACCAAGATCATCAGATCTCAGCCTCTTGAGTAACTAGAATTACAGGTGTGAGCTACCAGCACCCAGCTCCATTCTCTTTATTGACCTGCAATTTTGGATAAAAGAATATTGTTGTTATAAATGTAATTATATTTGCAAGACATTTTATTATTTATTTTATTATTTATCCTGAGTAGATCAGGATATTTCTGAAAGGAATACAGCAGTTAAACAAAAAAAGGCAAAGGCAAATTGTTTAGAGAAGTTATATATCAACTTTTCTTCTTACCAGCAGTGTGGTTTATATTTATTTTTATTTTCCTCCTGTTGACGCACCCCGTCCTTAGTTTCTCAGTTCTGTGCTATATACAATGATTTATGTTGATCTATATGTTTTGAAGAATGTGTAAATGAAGAATGTGTTCACTAATTCTCTCTCTTCCCTTCTTCTCTCTCCTGTTGTTGAATTCACATAGATTTTCTATTTTGGGTATTGTATTTGTAACGTTCAAATGTCCATCATGGTATAGTCACTCAACCCCATAGTCTAACCACTCAGGAAGCTGAAATGAGATGAAATGAGGAGAGCAGTTTGAGTCTGACAAAACCTAAAAGTAAAAACACACCAACTCAACCAACAAGCTGAGTAGAGTGTCACACATTTATCATCCTAGATACTAGAAAACATAAATAAGAAGATGGTGGTCCAGGCTGGTCTTGGAAAAATCTAAACCTTATTTGCAAACAAACAGCAAAAACAAAGAGAATTAGAAGTGTGGCTCGAATGGCATAGAGAAGGCCCATGTATCAAATGTTTTTGTTTTTGTTTTTTTTTGTCAGTAGTGGGTCTTGAACTCTGGGCCAGGGTGCTGTCTTCAGCTCAAGGCAACTACTCTGCCACTTAAGCCACAGTGCCACTTCCAGGTTTCTGGTAGTTAATTAGAGATAAAAGTCTCATGCACTTTCCTGCCCAGGCTGGCTTCCAACCACAATCCTCAGATCTCAGCCTCCTGAGTAGCTAGGATGACAGGCATGAGTTAGTGGCATCCAGCTGTATCGAATGTTTTTGTAATCAATTATTGACGTATTTTTACTATCAGCATTGTCTAATGCATGTCAGATATTTCTAATGTCTCCATCCCCTGCTTTTACAAGTTATTTCCTATTGAAACCTACAAGTCCGGAAATTATGAAATTCTGTATTCCTTAACCTTTCTGTTTTTCGGTGGCCTCTCCTGATACCACGCTGGCAATGGAAGGATGGACAAACTTTATTGGTGCCAGAAGACCAGAGTCATTCTTGATCCCCAGTGCACTTGTTGAATAGGAAAGCTTTCCTTGACAGGAATAGACTTCCACCCCTATTAGGACTCCTCCCAGACATGGGAGATGGGAAGTTATGGACATACCGTAAGCCATTGCTGACTCCACCTGGAGTGAAACTAGAAGTCCACTTGCAGGATCACATGAGAGCATCTAGGTTTCTTTTCAGCCTTGACTGGAGTGATGTCAGGTGCTTGTTCTGTTTGAACCTTTTGGGCTTGATATACTCCCTTCTACTGCTCTTTGAGTTCGGGTTGCAGCTTTAGGATCTCAGCTTTTCCAATACCAAATCTGATACCTAAGAGCAAAATGGAAACCCAGGGAACTAACCAGCATGTCTTGCTTTCTTTGATGGTAACATCTCTGGATATTCTGCCTGAGAGTCTTTTTTTTGTTTGTTTCCATTGTATGTAATGCTCAGGGGCTTAGAACTACTCTAAGGAAGGAATAAAGAAATATAGCAACTCCATCAATTCGTTAAAAGTTTCCTGTTTTTTTTTTCTTTTCAAGAAACACGTCAATGTGTTCTCTTTGGAAGCACACATACTAAACTAGCAATGACACAGAAAAGATTAGCATGGCTCCTGTGCAAAGATGACCCACAAATTTGTCTAGTGTTCCATATTTAAAAAAAAATCTTAATCCACGTTACAGCTCACTGTAAGTGGCCATTATTAGTCTGATACTAAAATCAAAGATACAATGAGGAAACTAGATACCAATGTTCCTTATGAATATACATGCAAAAATCTTCAACAAAATGCTGTCAAATAAAATCTAACAATGTATCAAAGATCATATATGTCACCACAGAGTAGAATTTGCCCTGTTAATGTCAGATAGTTTCAACATCGGAAAATCAATCACTGTAATAGACCAGGGCAAAAGGGCAAAAGCCTTTAACTCACTAGACACAGAAAAGTATTGTTGAAAATCCAACAGCAGATTTTCCTGTTAAAAATGTTCAAAATAACAGCAATAGAAGCCATCTTGTTATCTGAAAAAGGAGTATGTATAAAACACATCTAGCCTAGCTGTGAGAGACTTGAGGCTCTTCCTTTAGCAGCAAGAAAAACATGGAGGCAAGGCTGTCACTTCTTTCATTCAGCGTTTCTATACAGATTGTAACAAGCTTACTTTGGAAAGAAGATTAAATATAAGGTCAGATAAAATGGAAAGAAAGACACTAAATTTTCTCTACTGGTGAATGGCATGACCTTGAACATAGAAAATCCTAAGGAATCCATTGCAAACCATTTGGAACTAATCAGCAAGTTCAGAACACATGAAGGGTCCAAGATAAATGCACAAACATCAATAGTTGTTTTGTAGTAGAAATGAACAACACAAAAACTATTATGTATATTACAGTATCAAAAAAGTTTACATGAAGAAATTCAACACAAGAAATGTTTGAATATTTGTATTACAAAACATCATTGAAAGAATGAGACTTACATTAATAGAAAGATCTTGTAAAGATGACCAGGTGTGGGGTTGTAAATGGTGGAGCACATATCTAGGAAGCACAAAGCCTTGTGTTCAATCCCTAGTACTAAAAAATGGAAAAGACAAAATGGCAAACTGATACACAGTTTTAATGTGACACATACCAAAATACTCAATGAAAATGTAAGAGAACCAATTAACCTTTTGAAACATGTCACACTAAAAAGAATTGTTAGAAGGCTGGCACTGCACGTTGACGCAGCAATAATCTAGGCAAGGCTACCTTGCAGAGCATGACGATAGATATGTAGATCAGATAAATACACTCTTGAGTGTATAAATAAACCTATGTATCTGTTGACAAGAATGCCAAGACAAAACAAAAGAATGCCAAGACAAGCAATTGGAAGAATGATGCTGAAACAAAATAACACAGAATAGCATTCTTGAGTCATTTCTTTTTAATTAATTTCCTTTATTGTTGTTATAGAGTGGTGTTCAGAGGGATGACAATTACATGAGTCAGGTAATAAGTACATTTCCATTCTTACAGTGTCTTCTGTTCCATCATTCTTTCCCAGTCCCTCCCTCCTGTCTCCACCCACGAATTGTATAGTTCACTTTCACCAATGTCCAGTGAACTCTACTGCTGTACTTTTTCACCCTTCTTCCCTCTAGTTCTGTGCCTTGCCCCCAATCTCCCAAAAATATAAACATGAATTTATCATACATACAGTAAAGAAGACACAATCATCAAAAACTAAAAAAAAAAAATCTTGTTTCCATATCTTGGAGTTCATTTCAGCAACTATATAATTTTTTAGATTATGAAAGGCATTGTGCCTTTGTGTTTCTCTCCTGAAATGATTATTCTCTTTTGATCTCACTATCTATGAGTATGTAAAACCCAGTACAACTTGTCATATCCCAGTGCATTTTAGATCTAATTTCTGCATATCTGAGAGAACATATGCTATTCATCTCTCTGAGCTTGGCTTAACCTAGTTAACAATATTTTAATATTTATTTATGGCAATATTTTAATATTTATTTATTTATTTTGTTGGTTGTGGGGCTTGAACTCTGGGCTTGGGCTCTCTCCCTCAGCTCTTCAGCTCAAGGTGAGCGCTCTACCGCTTGAACCACAGTGCCACTTCCAGTTTTCTAGTGATATATTGGACATAAGAGTCTCATGGACTTTCCTGCCCAGGCTGGCTTTGAACCGTGATCCTCAGATCTCAGCCTCCTGAGTAGCTAGGATTACAAGCATGAGCCACCAGCCCCTGGCTACAACATTTTATTCTTTCTAATAGCTGTGTAAAATGTCTTGTGTATAGGTACCACATTTTTTGGATCTATTCATCTATTGTGGGGTATCTGGGCTGTTTCCATACCTTGGCTATGGTGAACAGTATGGAAATGAACATGGATGTAGAGGAGTCCTTATCATATCCCGGCTCATGATGTTCAAGGTAGATGCCTAAGAGAGGTATGGCTGGGTCATAGGGAATGTCTATGTTTACTTTTTTGAGGAGCCTTCAGACTGCTGTCCAGAGTGATTTTAATAGTTGACATTTCCACCAACAGTGCAGTAGGGCTTCTTTTCTCCACATCCCCACCAACATTTGATGTTTGAATTCACAGTGTTGGCCAATTTAACTGGGGTGAGATGGAATATCAGAATTGTTTTGATTTGCATTTCCTTTATGGCCAGGGATGATAAGCATTTCCTCCAGTGTTTCTTTGCCATTCTTACCCCTTCTGAAAAGTATCTCCTAAGCTCCTTTGCTCATTTAGTGATTGGTTTATTAGGTTTGACAGGAGTTAGTTTTTTGATCACCTTGAAAATATTGGAAATTAGGTTTTTGTCTACTATATTGCTCCAAAGATCTTTTCCCAGCTGGTTGACTGTCTTTCTAGTTTAGTAACTATGTACTTATCTGTGCAGAAACTTTATTTTGACATAGTTTCACTAGTCTAGTCTCTCTCCTATCTGTTGTGCTCCTGTAAGAAATTTCTGCCTATCTCTGTAAGTTCTAATGTTTCTCCTACTCTCTCTTGCAGTACTTTCAGTTTTTGGTCTGACATTGAGGTCTTTGATCCACTTTGAGTTGTTATTAGTGCATGGGGACAAATGAGGATCCACTGTTAGTTTTCTGCTTATGGACACACAGTTTTCCCAACACCAATTGATGAAGAGGCTGTTTTATTTTCACTGTATGTCTGTGGCTCCCTTATCACACATCAGATAACTACATGTATGGTTTTATTTCTGGGTCCATTAATCTATTTCTTGATCTTCAAGTCTAGTTTTGTGCCAATATCAAGCTGTTTTTGTTATTATGGTGCTGTAGTAGTTTGAAGTCCAGTATTGTGATAGCACCTACATTGCAATTTTTGCCTAGAATTGTTTTGGCCAATCTAGGTCTTTTGTTGTTCCATATGATTTTTTGCATTGATTTTGTAAATGATTTTTGGTGATATGGCAATTTTCACAATATTGATTCTACCTATTCATGAACATGGAAGGTCTTTCCATTTTCTGCTGTCCTCTTTGATTTTTTTCACTTTTATTTTCTTGTAAAGATGCTGTACAGAGAGGTTACGGTTTCATCAGTAAGGTAATGAGCACATTTCTTGTCAGGCATCGTTACCCCCCTCCTTTGTTTTTCTCCCACTATCCCTTCTCTCCTTCACCTCCCTCACTCCTCCCTGCCCCCAAAGTTTCAAGGTTCGTTTCCAACATAGGGTCTTGTGAGTATCATTGTTGCAATGGGTCATCCTGTGTCCTTGTTTCAGTATTTTGTTATTCCCGTTCCCTCTCCAGATTAGATAAATGTGTATACAAGATGCAAGGTTCTAAAATCAAATACAGTGGCAACAGGGATATACCATAGGAGGAAGAATATACAAAAGAAACAAAGAAAAAATCACATAATATGTTAAAAACAACAACAACAAAGAAAAATATCTTGTGTCCATATCTTGGGGTTCATTTCACTTAGCATCAATGTATATGGTCATATGTACATAGAGCTCCCCTATGACCCAGCAATCCTACTTCCGGACATTTACCCCAATGATTACAAAAAAGGCCATACTAAAGCTTCCAGCACAACTATGTTTATCGCAACTTTATTCATCATAGCTAAGATATGGAACCAACCCAGATACCCCTCAGCAGATGAATGGATCAAGAAAATGTGATATATATGTACATATATAATATATATATATATATATATATATATATATGAATTCTGTGCTTCCATCAGATTGAATGACACTGCCCCATTTGTTAGGAAATGGAAAAAAAATCATATTAAGTGAAGTAACTGAGACCCAAAGAAATATAGGTCCCATGTTTTCCACTATTTGCAATAATTAGTATATGTCTAAGATATTCTTATCAGATGAACAGAAAACCTCTTTGATTTCTTTCTTCATGTTTTTATAGTTTTTAATATACAGATCATTTATGTTTTTGGTTAGGTTAATTCTTAGTTTGGGTTTTTTTTTTTTTTTGGTTTGTCTTTTTTTTTTCCCCCCCAGGGTTGAGGACCGAACCCAGGGCTTTGCCGCGCACCTGGCTGGCGCCCTTCCTCTGGGCTAAACCCTCAGCCCCTAGTTTGAGTTTTTTTAAGGCTATTGCAAATGGAGTTTTTTTAATATAATTTCACTTTCTACTTGTACATTTTTGTGTGTTAATTTTGTATCCTGTTACTTTGCCAAACTACTTAGGGATGGAGGTTTTGGGTCCTTTGGGTGTCTGATCATGTCATCTGCAAATAAGGACAATTGGATTTCTTCTTTCCCTATGTGAATGCCTTCTAGGTCCTTTTCCTGCTTTATTGCTCTGGCTAGGAATTCCAGGACTATATTGAAGAGGAGTCTAAAGAGCGAACCATTTTATGCCATATGCAATCTATAATAGATTAAATATTAAAATGTAAAGCCTAAAATATATAAATATTAAGTCCTTATGTCCTCAGGTTAGGTAACAGTATCTTCAATGGGACACCAAAAACATAAATATATTTTAATTTTATTGTCAAGATGATGTACAGAGGGGTTACACTTACATAACTAAGGTAGTCATTACATTTCTTGTCTAACTTGTTACCCCTCCTCTCATTTTTCTCCCTATTCCCCCCTCCAATTCCCCACAAGTTGTACAGAT